AAGTTTATATGGCCATGAAAATTAGGTTAAAAACATCATATTTTGAATGATACCCTGCCTTTGGAGTGGAATATATGATTATATTCTTTATATCTTAGTTTGCTCTTTCCATTCATAAATCTTCAAACCCTTAGCAACACTATAACATAATGTATACAAGTACTTTAGATTTTCAATAGTGTTTAATCCAACTCCAGAGAGATCTCATGGTATATCTCATTCAAGAGAAGGTTTAACGGCAGAAGCTAGCAAAATTCTCCAAGCCAATATGGAAATTTTTATGATGCCTAATCATAAGCGGATCCACTAAAGCCAGTATATCAAGATAAGATAATCATGAGCACTTCCAAAACATTACTTGAAATAACATAAATTAAAGTTTAAGGAAGATAGAATTACCTCCTCCGCCTGGAAGTTGATGGAATATTTTCCTAAGCCCAATGAATGCAGCAAGCCGCCAACAGTAAGCTTCACCTCAGGCTAACATATCATAACAACACACAAGAGTGAGTTTAAAAAAATATTCAGATGAGAATCAGGAACATCTGCCGATTTTATTTAACCATGCAGAAATAGACAGAAATCAGCCTGAAATGTAAATGACGGCAGTCAAACTTAGAGCTAAAAAGACTGCATCATCCGATCTTAATGCATACGGAGATATGATTATCTGGTAATTTTGATCTTTCGCAGTAGACATTAGAATATAAACAAATACCACTGTCACAGTTCAAGTTGCACAAGGGGCCAATGACTAGCAAGAAAAACAAAAACTCTAAATGACATTACTTTTTTGCCCACTTAAAATTCCTCAAGGTAGGAATTTATCATGTTGTAGGGGGCGAGAATCAAACCTAAAACCTTGACAACAATTATAAGACCCTCATTAATTGGACTAGCTGACACTCACAAAGCCATATAATTGAATTAAAAAGCCACATTAATTGAATCATAAACAACCTCATGATAACCAAAAAACAATTATGATGTAGGACTATATGCTTTAAAATGATGAAATAAGAATTTGCACGATTTCTTGAATTAAGCATGTAAGATTACCACTATTAGCAATCAAAACGACGATAAAAAACAAAAGAGGGGGGCCTACGTTTAGGCTAAGCCACATACCAAACACTTGGAGATTCAAAACAAGTAGAAATTCAATAACATGCAAAATAAATAGCTTTCAACAAAATCCCTAATATAACATTTAGAGTAGAAGCATAGAAAGTGTATTTAATCCTACGTTTACTAAGCTTTGGCAATGGCGAAACGAAATCCTACGTTTCCGTAGCTCCCTTGAAGGTTCAACTTTGTCGAACCCGGTAACAAGTAATCAAGATGTTGAAGACGATCGTCGTTGCTCCCTTGAAGACTACTCTTGAGAGGCAGAAGACTATCTTGAGAAGTCAAGATGGAAAGAGGGATGAAGGTGGTTTTTTGTCTGGTGCTCTAGATCCTTTCTTCTTATTACTCAATAAAGACCTTCATAGTACTAATGTAGAAGCTCATGCACTTTTCCATGCAAATCTTATTGTAAACATCAATGTAAAGATATTTGCATAAATGGTCAGTTTAGTTCATTTAGCAATGCTCTAGATGACGTGTTATTTAGATAACAATATTTTGCTTTAAATTCAATGAGTTTGATTTAATGCTATCTTAAATATTATAATGTTATAAAGATCAATGGAGATTATCATCTTCCTTTTTTGTTTCATTTATTTTAGCTCCCAAATAGTTGGCTGACAACTAAATGACATCAGAATAGGACCTAACTATCCGTCATGAAATTTTTATTAAAAGATGTTAGTGAAAAGAATTGATTTTTACTAATAACTTGCGTTATGTTGCATATGTCAGCAGATCAAATAGCCTCAAAGTGTTTTCACATAGAATATATGTAAGGACTCTCATAGTCTTAAGCAAGATCTTCAAAGATTTGTATTTGTTTTGTTAGATGTTTTCAAAACAAGGGTTGGAGGCTTTTTTTCCCCTTTAAGGTGAGCAGCGATAGAGAAATCTGCATGTTTTTATATGTTTTTGAGTGAAGCTCTCCTTTATATATATATATATATATATATATGTGCGTATGTGTGTATTTACTAAAAATGGAATTTTAGTCGGTAATATATGTGTGTGTATTTACTAAAAATGGAATTTTAGTCGGTAAAAATAAACTACACAAATTAACATGTTATGAATTAGCTATAACAGATGATAGAGTAAACCCAATCCCTTTATCTATTTTTTTTAACGTACAAGAAGAAAAACATATTGACCAAAAAATGCAATTGAATAATATACTAAAAAGTATACTCAATGTATGAAGCTCTTGCCAATGCATGACAAGGAGTTTACATACATGGCTTACACCTGAATTTATCAAGAGATGGTTTTCGTAAATCAAATCCCAGATTCATGGCCTCCAAATAACAACAATGGCAACCTAACCTTTCAATATAGACTAATACATAAAATAGCCAATCCAATATTATGACATCAACAACCAAAAAAAAAAAAAAGGTTTGCCTCTTAAAAAACAATAAGAAATTTACAAATTAAACTGGTGATTTTTACCTAGTCCATTCCTCCGGATTATGGTAATATTTCTCTCAACCGTTTGCAAAATGAGTATTGAACTCCATATCCGCCTTCTAAGAAGTTTGGCCTAGTGAACCAAGCAAGGATTGTTCTCACAAGTACAATTTTGTAAAGGCGCATCAAGAAAATTAATGGTGCACAAAAAATCATTGTAAAGAAAAATAGGAATTTGATTATGTGTGCATAGGTTTTTTAGTGATGAATTATAATATTTGATATTTAAATATTGTAAGTAATGCAAAATTAGGATTTATTATATTAAACCTGTAACTTAAAGCAAGCTCACAGATGTGTGAAAGTGCATAATTACTATGCTCAAACCTTTGATATATTGTCATATAAACCTTAAGCACTGTTAGAATTCAGTTTTTACTTTTTAATGTCATGTTTACTTTAAAAAGATTGTTTAAGAGATCATAATATTTTCATCAAGATAAAACTAAAGTTTTATGATGATAAAAAATTGAATCATATGTAGAGGATATGTTATTATTATTATTTCTTTATGTTCTTCTAATGTGTTTTTTTCACACCTTCTCTAAAAAGATTTTGTTATTTTCAAATATGCTAAATAAATCTTAGCTTACAACTACAATGCTTGAAAAAATCTAATGCCAAAAGATTAGGGCTAGATTTTTTTTTTGTTGGATGTAAGAAGAACCGGAGAAGCAAAAAGTGAGGGGAAGTAGCCACGCAGGTGTTTGGTTAGACAGATAAATGACTTCCCAATTAAATATATAATATTTTGACTTCGCCTTATAAACTTTGAAGTCATAGTTCTAGAGGTCATTAATTATGTAATTATAATCCTATTTGTATGTACAGTAACAGTGTAACACTCATACATTCATATTTAAATATAGCTATTATTTAAGATATAAAAAATTATAGTGCAATAACAATGTCAAGTCTTTATCCCACTATGTGAGGTCAAATGCATGAATTTTATTTCTCTATTGTGTTATGTTAATAGTCAAATTCTCATTTAAATTTAACCCAAAAAGGTTATTTCTAATATTTTATAGCCAAGTCTTTTTAGGTCTACCTCTATCTTTCTTAATGTTGGCAAAATCCAATACATCTATTCTCCTAATCGGGTCATTTAGAAGTGTTGACTAAAAAAATGATGATGAAAATGAATGAATCAAAATAATGAAAAGGAAAGTAGATGCGTCTCTCTATGAACCAATCAACTTGCTGTTGATCGGTCCCACTGGCAGCAGTTAATCACCAAATAATGCATTTCTTCGCTACGATAACTTCCTTTTCAACAAATCAAATCAATAAATACAGGAGAAGCAAAACAAAGGAAATTACACTCTATCTGTCATTTTGCTTCTCGTCAAATCCCGAGCCCAAGCAATCCAATCACATTTTAAGCTGCACAAGGGTTGCAAATGAACCAAGAGTTTGACGAGCTACTCATGGCTCGACTTGATAAAAGCTTGTTCATTTTCATTTGATAAGGTAAACGAACGAGCTTGAACACTTTTCTAAATACTCAATAGCTAAATAAACGAGCTTGAACAACTTGGCATTTGGTTCGCTTATGTTCATGAACAATATTGTTTAATGCACGTGAACAAGTTCATCTTGATTAAGAAGCTCAATTAGAAATATATTATAGTTTTAATATATATATATATATTAAAGTTATTTTTTTTAACTTCCCGCATCCGCCTAAAATCATGAACAGCCCGCTCTTTGAACAAATATAAGATGAATCATAGATCGTTTGCTCATGAACAAGCTCATTTGATAGCTCGAAAATACTAATTAGATATGTTCATGAACATGCTCATTTGATAGCTCAAGAATACTCATTAGATAAGTTCGTGAATGAGCTTGTTTGATAGTTTAAAAAACTTAGCTATATATGTTCACGAACATGTCAGATGTAATTGTTTGTTAGAAGGCTCGATAAGGCTCGTTTGTTAAGTTAATGAACATCTAGAAGTAGAGCTCATTTCTAACTCGATAAGGATTGTTTGTTTTAAAGCTCGATAAGAATGAAATGAATCGAACATGAACCAAACATGAACACCCATTAATTTAAATGAACCAAACATGAACACAAATAATAAAGCTTGAATCAAACTCAAACCAAACTTGAGCAAACTGATAATAAATGAAATCAAGCATGAATACGCACATACTTGGCTCAGTTCGGTTCGTTTGCAGCTCTATGCACAAGGTCTATCATTTATGGTTGCTTCTCGATGCCCAACTTATTCTATTGAATTTACTTCATTTGATTTAGACCTGGATTGGTGTCAGAACAGGTCCATGTTCATTGCATTTTCTTATGTAACTTTTAGGCATTCCACCTGTTTATCTAACTTCTAAATTGTGCTTTAACATTTTTTGGTCTTACCTGATAATCTTGCATCTTGCAGGCTGGAACTTGGGAGGAAAAAAATCTAAATTCATGGGCAAATGGTAGAATTAAGGTTTGGCGTCCAGTATGCATTGTTTTGATTAGTGATAAGAAATTTTTTTGTTTCTTAATTTCTTCTGTTAACTTATTAATTAATGTTATATCAATGACTTAAAGTAGTTCCTTTCTTGAATTGTAGGAGCTTCTTAGTTCGATGTCCTTGGAGTTTTCTAAAGGAAAAGCAGCTATTGATGAAGTTATTAATGTTATATCAATGACTTAAACTAGTTCCTTTCTTGAATTGTAGGAGCTTCTTAGTTCGATGTCCTTGGAGTTTTCTAAAGGAAAAGCAGCTATTGACGAAGTTACCAAATGTTCAGGGGATGTAAGTATGCTGTTAATGTCATAGATATTGTGCTGCACCAAATTGTAATTGTGGTAATGTTCTTAGCTTTATGCTGTCCGTTTGGAAGTTTGTGGATTGTGTGATATTTTCTCCTGGGCTGTCAGCATTTCTTAATCTAATTGAACTTTCTATGTTGTTTTTTCAAGGCTGCTTTTTATGAGATAAATAATATGACATTTTTGAAGCTATGCGATTATTCTGGCTAGATTTCGCTGCTGAGGCTACATCTTTTATACTTCATTTCTAGTAGATAGAATAATATATGATGACTGAGGTATATAAGCTTGCAATTTCATCGAAAATATTGCAATTATTTAGTTGCTTTAATTTATAACGTCATTCTTGCAACTATCTACATTCATATGAGTGCAAGCTTTGTCTTAATCCAATCCCCCTCTTCTATCTCTTAATTACTTTTGCCCCTCTCTACCAGTGGCATTCCATGATGAACTGTAGTTTTATGTTGCTTAGGAAAACATGGTCTGGTATTCTGTTTGCCTTGTAACATTTACATCATTTGCTATAGTTGGAGTTATGCTTTTTTGTTCTCTCTCCTATCCCTCATGCTTTTCTTGTCTGCATTTATGTAAAATATCAAATATCTCATCTCTTTGCTAGTTTGTATGCCCACCATATTGTGTTATCAAAATTCATGAGTTTTTCTTTAATGTTTGCTTAACTTTCTTTATATTATGGTCAACCAAACAGCTTTTCAAGTAAAGTCTTCTCTTATGCTCCTTTCATGGTAGCTCGTAGTAACCTCATGTCTGCCTATGTGCATTGTTTTTGTATGTATATGCACTTCGGATGATTTGGCTGGGTGAGGTTGGGTTATTTGGGAGATTTTTCTGTTTGATTTAAGGTGGTACTTGGTTTCTGCTTTTTAATTTGCAAATTATTGGTTTCATTTGTTGTTTTTGAATAAATTTTGGAGGTGATATTAAACTAAATCAATATCAAATATGTTTTAAAATAATTCTGAATACATATGAAGTTACCAATAGAAAAAAAAGAAGTTTTATTATGATTTATGTACAAAATAAATATTTATTTATTTGTTAAAATGTATCCGTTTTTATAATTAAAAATAAATTTGATTTTAAGTTGTTATATATATATAGGATGGAAAATGAAGTGTGGAAAAGCTGTTGGACCTGATGATATTCCAATAGAGATGTGAAAATGCTTAGGAGATGAAGGAAATTCTTGGCTTATTAAACTTTTTAATACTATTTTGAAGACTAAAAAGATGCCAGATCAGTGGAGAATGAGTGTGTTAATTCCTATTTTTAAGAATAAAGGTGATGCTGTGGGCTCCGAAAATTTCCATTTTGGATGTGTGATCCCGGCCTCTCTGCGCCATCGGTCTATTTATTTTTAAGTGTTTGTGTGACGACGACGAAAGAGAGTTTTAACGAGATTAGGTTCCGGGGGAATTTTCAGAAGGCAGATTGGGTTTTAGATAAGACACTACCCAGAGATTTCGCCCTCATTTAGTGAGGACTTTTTTATCTGAGTTCTGGTTTCCTATAGGCGCAAGCCCAGCCCTTAATAGTTAATTACCCCTCCCGGTAATAGGAGAGAACTTTTTGATTAAGGCTAGTCATAAAGTGTTATATAGGTTAAAAACTATCATATAAATGCACAATTTTAGGGTTTAAATTTGAATTTGGATGATTTGAAATTTAGAGTTTATCACCACAAATTTAAAACTGAAGTTGGGGGGAATGAAGACGAGCCCAATCAAGATCCCATGGTTCCGTCGTCCCGGGCTGTCATGATCCTTGGTCTACTTTAGTGCAGGAGGTAGTCGACCCAACCTGACAGAAGGCACCTTGTCGGCAGCCATGAGTTGCTTCGTCAAGAATACTTTGTAGACCTGAGTTGATGTTTATCTAAGGGGATTATATATGAATCCACCTTAACTAACAGAGGGTTTATGCCTATTGGATATACCCTAATGATCCATCGCTCAAGGGTTTGACGCCTTTAGGGAACATACGGGCTTTGGCCGTGATCGTAATATAATTGGTGCATTTTTGCGCAAAACCACCGATCAGAGGTCACGTGCCACGTCCCTGATTGGCAAGAGAACTATTTGAGGATGAATCGTAGTGATACACCAACATGCATTCGCTCTTTGTGAGCTGAGGTTAATTTCAAATTTATCCACCCCCGATAAACGGTTGCGGGAGGGTGGATGATTTTTAGTTTTGAGTTTTTAGATGATATATATTTTATTTCAAGAATTTAGACTTTTTGTTTGATTTGAGATTTGAAATTTGACCCTCCGGTTGAGATTTCCGATCAACACGGCCATCATCGGGGTGAAGTTAGGTTGCTTGTTATTTTTGTAGAATTTTGGGAGGCATTTTATACTTCAAGTCATGTCAACTCCGGTCTTTTTTTGGAGGAGGATGAAACTTGAATATAGACCCGCCAAGCATTCTCGAAATCGTTGGATTTGGAACTCTAGATGTGTGATATTGGAGCACATGCGGGTTATAGTATTTGACCCTGCGCAGTATTTCGGACAATTGGCATTTAAAAAATTTATTGAATTTGTCGCGAGCACATGCATGGGTAAATTTTATTTAAGGGATCATATTTAGATACATAAGGGCATTTTAAAATATTTAAAATATGATCCATTATGTGAGAGTGATTTTATTTAGGAAATGCCCAAAAATTTCATTTAAGGGCCTACGAACGCCTTCTTCCGCTTACACACATTTGCGGATTCGATGAGAATGTGTGCACAAATTTTATTAGATCTATTCGTGGTATTATCCATAACTATTGAGAGTTATCAATTTAACTTGGAAGAGAATGCATTCTTCAATCTTGGGATGAGCATCCTATACAAAGAGAAGGAATAAAATGACCCAAATGGATAGATCCACTAGTTCACTTACTTATAGTCATTATAACCCACAAGTAAACATCATAATGTTCTATGATTTCTTTCAAAGAAGTCATGATGTATTTTAGTGCATGAGAATTTTTCAGCAAAGATTTTTATAAGGGAATACAGAGAAGTCCTTCGTTGCAGAACATCAAAAGAACAGTTAAATGTCAATGCCTCTATTATTGATTATGTATTTCCTGAAAATTAGAAATGTTAGGATTATTCAATACCTATCCACATAAAGGTTATTCCACTTTAAAAGAAGATCTCAATCATATGAGATAAATTAAATACTAATTACTTTTCTAATTTGTGTGTAACCATTGATATATGATAATGAAATATTAATCCCTTTCAATATGAGAAGTTCATGATTTGTATAGTGGTTCGATGTAAGCTTGTTGTAATCTGTTGATTGTGAGAATCCCTAATGAAGTTCAATTTGATTGAATCCATTATCAAGTAAATTTTATGAATCGAATTCATATTTAGTCAATTGAATTTAAGTCAAACATTATTTGATCAAAATTTAATTTTAAATTGATTTTATATTTAAATTATTTCAAATACAATTTTCCATTTTTTTGTCCAAGTTCGTAATTGTTCAATGAAAATTTTCGGCAGCCCTCCCGGTGCCCTCCTCCACCGAGAGGAGAAATCGGGCGGCTCTGCTGAAATTCTTCTACCCGGACTAGAGGTCGACGCGTAGGGTCTTTGATTTCAAGACATCTCACCAGGCATCTATAGATCGACTGCGTGAGGTCTTCAATTTGGGAACCATCCCGGCCGGATCTAAGATGCGAGCGGCCCGGGGTCTTCAAATTTTAAAACCATCCCGGTCGACCTAAGGTACGAAGTTCGGGTCTTGCGACACCTGTTTGAAAATCATTTTTATTTCTCTCCATCTCTATCTCTCTCTTTTTTTTTTCTTTTTTTTACATATGTATATTTTATTATAACTAGATATAATATAAATTTATATATTAATATATTATACTTATAATACATAGTATTATATTAAAGATATAATAGAGAGGGAAAGAGCCATTTTCGGGCTAGGGCAGAGCCTGATCGGCAGGAGATGGGATCGGAGGAATCCGCAGCAGCTCGGGAGCAGGTGGCGGAGGGTTTGGATCGCTGGTTCCCGCTACGGAGGCGACCGGAGGCGGCGGAGGCAGCAGCGTCGGCCCGGAGTTGGGTGGCCAGAAAGGGTCGTACGCCGGGTTGGCTCGGCCGGAGGTTTGAAAAGCGGAAATTGAGTTTTCGGTGCGCTTCAATGATGCAGAGTAAAGTCTTCCCAAAACTCCTCTCTGTGCGTGAGTGTGCGTAAACGTCCGAATGAGAGGGAGCGTTGGTTTTATTTCGTGGAGTGAGGCGTGATGAGCGGATGTGTCGTTCTCGTTTGGGTATGTCGGTGGAAGAGTCTCGGTGGAGGTCTTTTTTTTTTTGTTGGAGCTGTTAACAAGTCAACAGATTGCACAAAGAGTGTGCGAATTATAGAGGAATTAAGTTAATGTTGTCATATTTAAAACTATGGGAGCGAGTTATGGAGATAGGTTTGAGGCGTGAACTAATGTTTCTGCAAAAATCAATTTGGATTCATGCCGGATAGGTCTACTATGGAGCATACATTATTGAGAGTTTTGATGGAGAATTAAAAGAATAAGGAGGATTACAATGATATTTATTACTTTAGAAGAAAGGCAATATGATAAAGTTCCAAGATAAGTGCATGGAGAGTTCTTGAAAAGAAAGGAGTTAATATGCTTTATTCAAGATAATTAAAGATATGTATGTCAGAGCTATACTTGTGGTTCAAACACAAAGGTGGTTTGACCAAGTTATTTTTCTTTTCGGTTTGATTTACATCAAGGATCAGCTTAGTCCATATCTTTATGCTTTAGTCTGGATGTTCTCACTAGACATTTACAAGAGGATGTACCTTGGTGCATGCTTTTTGCTTGATGATATTCTTCTTGTTGATAAGACTCAGAAGGGAGTTGAAGGTAAAAACTTTATTATGGAGGTTAACTTTTGAGTCTAAAGGTTTTCGCCGTGTGAGTAGATCAAA